AGTTGACGGTCTTTATGCTGTTAACCATTATGTAATATTGCATCAGAATAGAAGAAAACACAATTTTGGGTGCTGCTGCCATGATGACCATTATGGGAAAACCATGTTATTTATGACTGCCAAACTTTCAAAAAAGAAATACAGGGCTAAAATGCAGCCTGAGTTGGAAAAGTAGTCTAATTGGCTTCTTTTTCTGGAAGTTATACAATTTCAAAGTGTGAACTTGAACTCCCATGGGCCTGAAGCCTTATGCTTGTTACACATTTTACTTACATTGGTATTACCTGTTGAGCATAATTAAAATTTAATGTTGAATTTGCAGTTCAACATAATGTACTTTTGCATCAGAATTGACAGTAGCCTATTTTGTGCATAGTTATTTCCTGTTTTTTGTCTGTACATTTGACAGCTTTGCTGCCTTGTTTTTTTAAGTGGACTGTATTACTGTGAAACTTTCATGTACCTAAGCACTAACATAGAGCCTACTTGGTCAAATTTTGATTCAAATTTTGATTTTCCTGGCCATGCACAAGAGCAGTTTGTTTGAATATTTTCATTTTTATTAGTTTAATAAATTTTGCTACTCAGAAAGATATTGAAATTTCCCAAACCTGATTCAAAGAGCTAAACCTGTAAATGGTATTTGATGGCAAGCAAAGAAAGTTGACTGAAGAAAAAAAAAGATAAACAATTTTTCCAAGTAGATGAACTTAAAATGGCTGAGGATGAGATCTACCTGAAATTGAAAAATGTTATTGACAGAGGAACATAGATTAATTGTATTTGAATTTTTTCTAATTTTTTATTTGTATTTTAGTTGATCACCTAGCACATGTATTTGATGTACTGAAGATGGACCTGAAGTCTGAATCAGCAAAAGAATTATTTATCCATTACCGGGCATCTCCAGTCATAATTTCCTTCTTTAAACCTGCATCCAAGGTAACTTTCAGATGCTGAAATTCTGTCATTTGGTCGCACATTTGTAGAAATTTGTGCAAAGTTTCAATTTTGTAGCATGCACCTATGTAACTATTAGATGTGACCAAGGATAAGCATTTTTTGGTTTCATTTATTGGTCATATCAGAAAAAAGGTGCTATCTTTTGTTGCCGTTTATCCTCATTGTGACCAAGCAAGTCTATAAGTCTTCTTCTTCTTCTTCTGGTGTTCTGAATGAAAAATTTCTGCCACAGATTCCAACATCACAGACCTAACGTTCATTTTAAATAAATAAAAATATCATTCCTAAGAAGGACATATTCCTTTCTTCCTTTTTATTTGGAACTAAAACTGATGTTTTGATTTGGGTTACAGGGAGAGGTTTATTGTCTTCTAACAGAGACTGATGTTTTGATTTAGATTACAGGGAGGTTTTTTTATCTCCTCAATGAAGGATCCCATACCTGAAATGACCTTTGACTTTTTATCTGAAACAGAACTGATATTTTGATTTAGGTTACAGGGAGAGTTTTCTTTCTTTTCAATGGAGGATCCCATTCCTAAAATGATCTTTGGCTTTTTATTTACAACTGAAACTGTTATTTGGTTTAAACAGTGAGATTTTTTTTCCTCAGTGGAGGATCCCACATCTGATATGACCTTTGACCTTTTTCTAGGCCCTGATGACCTGTGCTATGGACGTGTACCTGCAGATGTCCATGGAGTCTCTGAACCTGCATCAATTTCTGGAGAGTATCAGCACAGAATCCTGGTTCAGGGCCTGCTCTGTGATACTCAGGGCCCCAAACCTGGAGAACAAGATGGTGGAAAAACTCAGCATTGTTCTGCAAAAGTTGTCAAAGATAAAGTAAGTGATTATTATTTCTGATTACGTTGTGTGTGTTGTGTGTTTTTAGGGATATGATAAGGACATCTTTAGCTTGTGATGCAAAATTTTAACATTGTGTTAGAGAACTTTTTGTCAATGTTGAAAAGACTTTTATTACTGATCAGATAGTGGTCTGTACTTTGGACAGCTTTGCTGCTCTTTTTGTTTTGTCATATTTATTATTTTGATGTGATACAGTATTCCTGTATATTTTTTCAGGAACAACAAGAAATATTTTGAAGTGTTCACCATCACAGGGCTGGTTCAAGAGGCACTGAGAAGTTACGGGAAAGATAATGCATTTTTGGCGATGAACCTGAAGTCAATTCTCTTGAACTTGAACATGGCTGTATAAGCAAACATGGTCTTTCCGCAATTGGACTGTTGTTTTAAGTGCGTCCGCTACATATCAGTCATATTCTGACGTTAAACGTATTATCCAGTATAGAAATGAATGAAAGTCTGGAGACCTTTCTAAATATTGAGAATTTAAATAATGATCACTTATTTCCATAATAATATTACCCTTTTAATGTATGTAAGTAAAGGTATTAAAATCATTTCCTTTATTGTAATTGCTCAGTTTTTCCTAATTTCAATAATTACTGGTATTAAATGAAATTATGACGATTGCCAAGTGAGTCCAGTTAGTATGTACTGGTAGTACCTCCTAACTAGCATGTTTTGTTAGGACTAGTTTCAGCGTGAACGGATGAGAAAGGTTAAACATAAATTATCAACTTGTTAAATACCCATGAAGATGAATTTTAAAAACTGATAATCAGAATTACGTTTTTTTAAACGGATTCTGTGTTCAACGAAGGTCGCCCTTCAAAGCAATCAAACTATTTCTTAGGAATATAATGTTAAAAATAATCTAAGACAACTGGCAAAATGATACGAACGATTATACACAGTGTTTTATAAACCTGAAGGGCTGGGTAGTATTTTAATCTACATTACACAAAACACTACACAATACATGTAAAAACAAATGAAAAGAAGAATGAATGATTGAATGTAGAAATTGTATCTCAAAGTAGCTAATGAATTTAACGTAAATAATGTAACATTATTCATAAATTTAAGTATTATATTGTAAATCTCACGTTCACCTGGATGGCGTAACAGTAGCGTTTTAGATTAAAATGTCACTTTTGATCTCAAAGATATATCCCAGAAGGATAGTTGTAAGTACATTTTTAAAGCATTGAGCCCCTTTGACAAGACTCTATTCAACGGTGTCTACAAAGGCAATGCTGAGATTTTATCAGCAAAACGAGAAAGAATGCTCTTAAGTTTACGTAAAGGTATTCTGGCCACTGGGGCAATATAACAGGTCTAACCAAAAGTCTGATAATAATATATCACCAGGCTAGCGTCTTATGTTGCCTGCGGCGCGTGCACGTCCAGGTAATTCACAAGGACCAGCATAAATGACGGGATGCATGTAACTCTTCCGCACTGTGACGTAACGCTGAATTTTTGGGAGTATAACACGTGACTTTTTTTACAAGTGTCCACATCCCATTCGTGAGGTTTTCATTTGCAGTTAAATGAGAACGCTCAGGCTTTTTTGTATGACGTTGACTTGTGAAAGACCAGATACATTTAACTCTTCCGCCAGAATGTGACGTGCCAGAGCAGCCACGTACATGTATGTCCAGGGTTAATATATGTTCTTACAAACTTGACGTCGACGTAAACAGAGGAAAAACAAGCCAATAACAAGGTTGAATTTACTTGGAGACTTTATTAAGAACTGCACAGCCGTATTTTGCAACCAAACGCATTTTGCAACCGTTTTTATTTTCTAAGCCAGTCCTCAAAGTTTCATGTCCCTTACTCATCCCCACCTGATTCAGCGTACGGCATTTATGTCCTAATAACTGCGTCCCTACCCCGATTCTGTTTCGCTATAGTACTTTTAAGTTTTGAATTCCCGTTTCAGTGACACAGAAAAATGCATTGCGGTCAAAAATAGATAATTCATGTTTTTCTTTGGTTGAAAAATGCGTTCTGGAGTATTTGCGCATTTTGCAACCGGTCTGGGTGGTTTGGGTTTAATTGCAGCAGCATATCCTGAAGGACATTGAGTCCTATACCCTGGTGATAAGATAACGATACATTGGGCGTGGTCTCTGTGTGGGTACATAAGTCTGGGCATTACTCTATGAAACTGTGCGGACCGTTCCATTTGGCGCTATAATCTGTCTAGCAATGTCTGTCTTTTTCGCGCCATTCTGGCACAGCTTAACAATTTTGTAAAACACTGCTAAACTCACTTTACGCACTGCAAAACTGACCGCTTGCATGCAAAATTTCAAATTCTTCTATGCAGTAGTTGCTGACATATGGATAGTTTTTTGACAGAACCATGCTTCGCCAAAGCCAAGCTTTGACCAGCCCAAAAGAGCACTACCCAATTAAATCACTGCATATTACATAATGCAGCAGTGCAACAGACTTGATAATCAGTTAATTGGTAGCGACACACCTGGCTACACACTTCTCCAGTCAGATATATTATATGAGATTTGAGTTTTTTGGATAAAGAACGCATTTTACCTAGGTACACCTTTAAAACTGAAATATTCCATATTAAATGTCAAGTCTGTACTTTATTAAACAATTGAAAGTAGTTCCACCATATCAAGCACAGATATTTCAGATTTATGTAGGATAAAACCTTACTGACTAAGGTTCAAATATGAATAAATGTCTAGCAATTTCATATGTATATATTATATCATTTTAGCTTTAGGTAAACTGCTGAAGGATATAGCTATATAGTTGGTTATAGTCCCGCTCTCGTGTGTAACGTATCAGACAGCAATACCAGAACAGAACGACCACTGTAATTTATTTTCAACTCATTCCGGCGACATAATTAGGCGTTAGTCGTAAATTGCCGGAATGTTATAATTAACGTCTTACCGTGGTTAATGAGTAGTCTGCATGGATGAAAATATTGGGTTCATTTCACACAAAAATGAGACATGACACATCAATATATACATATGTTTTGATTTGCTGACTATGGTGCATTTTTATTCCTAATAGAAGTATGCAAAATTTTCTGTTTTAAACCAATGACCAAATTTCGAATTGTACTCTTTTGTAAAACTGAAATCTAGTCTGATGTGATGATAAAACAGCAAAATGGATACCTGACGCAGGCAACGCCCTACATAGCAGCAGACTTAGTGCATATGAGGGATAACCCATTCATTTCAAGTGCTTTTGTCTTATAAATTATAGTACGATTGATATCTTGTTCTCGTGTAAAAATAACATTTATCACGAAAATTTATTTCTCTACTAAAACAAACACATTGCGAATGTCAATCACCTTACCGTTTTGTGACGTCACGTGCAATTGCTCCATAAAAGCCGTAGGCGTAGATTTGGGGCTCAGTGTTACGCCAACCCTTCTTAACGCTCCCCACTGAGCACAAGAGGATGGTGCAAGTTACGGGCAGCAAGTGGACTGGGGCAACTCTGATGCTGTTCATTGGCATGTCTATACGTAAGTCTTACTTAATCCTTTTCTGGTCAGAAGGCCCAAAAAGGCACGTGTAAATGGTGCGCGTATGTTTAAGAAGTTGAAGTTTTAATGTTAAACCTGTATATTGTACACTGAGAGGGAACTATGTGTACAGGGCCGTAGCCTCCGGGGGGGCAGGGGGGGCAGCTGCCCCCCCCTGGAAATTGGGGTGCAAAAAAATAATCGCAAAGGTATAAAAATAATTGCAAAGTTGGTATCAATTCTGTGAGAAAAGGCACTCATGGCCACTAGACAATCATTCAACAATCTGTTTACAAAGGTGTACTGTTTTTAGCCAACTCAGTTCATGCCAAAAAGCTCACCCTCCCTGAGGGAGCTATCCCCCAGGCCAATTGGCGTGTTGTGTTGAAAAAATGACTGTACTTGTGGCAAAATGAACCCACAATTTCTGACTTCTGATTGACCAATAAATAACAGTTAAAATGCACCAGAATGCAGTATTATACATACAGTTTTTAAATATTTTCCACACCGTGGGAGGGGGAGACCCCCTCCCACATCCTCCCCCCATCGGGGGCTTCGCCCCCTCGTGTCTGCTTACTGCCCCCCCTGGCATTTTGCTCAGGCTACGGCCCTGGTGTGTGTAACAATGTGTATGTATGTAACTATGGGAAGTTACAAAACTGCTCACCGTTTTCTAAAACCGAAGCCTGTGATTTTATCAGCAGAACGATAAATAAAGCTTTGCAGTTTACGTGATGTCTTTCTGCCTTCTGGGACGGTGTATCTTTTAACAAGTCTGACGATAAGATATCACCGCTCTAATATTCTACGTACATATCCATGGTTGCCTTTATACTTAACTCGATTTTGAGAAAAAAATGTCACAAGACTACAAGAATGTATGAAATGTATACTTGTCAATTCACTAGTGTTAGTAATTATAAAGATGAATTAAAGGGATAAAAGCAAGATACAATATTTGTTGTAAAAACTTGAAAATATGTTTGCATTTAGAATGTTGAGTGGTAATATACGAAAGAGTCCCTGGAATAACCACTGAGAAAGAGAAAAAGTAAAAAAAAGAAAAAAAACTCTACATTAAAATGTTGAATTAAGAAATTCGGAAGATTGTGTTCGCACAAAATGAACGGAAATGATACTGACCGATGGCGTTGCTGCTGGGGTACGGAACTAGGGAGTCGATAAACCAAGCTTATCCTGTTGGCCTAACAAGTCTACTGCGCTACGTTACTAATAGACCATGCTTTGAGAGGTACAGAACACAAAAGTGGGAAATGACGCATGTTTTAGGTCAATACAGTATACATATATATTTTTATTGTTGACTATGGTGCATTTTTATTCCTAATTGAAGTATGCAAAATTTTCTGTTTTAAACCAATGACCAAATTTCGAATTGCAGTCTTTTGTAAAACTGAAATCTAGTCTGATGTGATGATAAAACAGCAAAAAGGATACCTGACGCAGGCAACGCCCTACATAGCAGCAGACTTAGACCCCATTCCCAGAGATTAGATCGATCCAAACTAGATCGACCTAACACCCTAGGGGTTCACGCTAAATAGCTGTCAGCCGAGCGGGCACGAAAGTTAATTACCCCCTTACAGCTTGTAGTAGGCGGGACGGACATTTAAGCCGGATTATCTGACAGTAATCTAGTGAGACTCCCCACGGGGATAGATCGATCTAAAATCTATGGGAATACGCCCTTAGTGCATATGAGGGATAACCCATTCATTTCAAGTGTTTTTGTCTTATAAATTATAGTACGATTGATATCTTGTTCTCGTGTAAAAATAACATTTATCACGAAAATTTATTTCTCTACTAAAACAAACACATTACGAATGTCAATCACCTTACCGTTTTGTGACGTCACGTGCAATTGCTCCATAAAAGCCGTAGGCGTAGATCTGGGGCTCAGTGTTACGCCAACACTTCTTAACGCTCCCCACTGAGCACAAGAGGATGGTGCAAGTTACGGGCAGCAAGTGGACTGGGGCAACTCTGATGCTGGTCATTGGCATGTCTATACGTAAGTCTTACTTAATCCTTTTCTGGTCAGAAGGCCCGAAAAGGCACGTGTAAATGGTGCGCATATGTTTAAGAAGTTGAAGTTTTGATGTTAAACCTGTATATTGTACACTGAGAGGGAACTATGTGTATGTAACAATGTGTATGTATGTAACTATGGGAAGTTACAAAAGTGCTCAATGTTTTCTAAAACCGAAGCCTGTGATTTTATCAGCAGAACGATAAATAAAGCTTTGCAGTTTACGTGATGTCTTTCTGCCTTCTGGGACGGTGTATCTTATTACAAGTCTGATGATAATAAGATATCACCGCTCTAATATTCTACGTACATATCCATGGTTGCCTTTTTACTTAATTCGATTTTGAGAAAACATGTCACAAGACTACAAGAATGTATAAAATGTATACTTGTCAATTCACTAGTGTTAGTAATTATAAAGATGAATTAAAGGGATAAAAGCAAGATACAATTTTTGTTTTAAAAACTTGAAAATATGTTTGCATTTAGAATGTTGAGTGGTAAGATACGAAAGAGTCCCTGGAATAACCACTGAGTAAGAGGAAAAGTAAAAAAAAAAAAAAAAACCCTCTACATTAAAATGTTGAATTAAGACATCCGGAAGATTGTGTTCGCACAAAATGAACGGGAATGATACTGACCGATGGCGTTACTGTTGGGGTACGGAAAAGGGGAGTCGATAAACCAAGCTTATCCTGTTGGCCTAACAAGTCTACTGCGCTTCGTTACTAATAAACAATGCTTTGAGAGGTACAGAACACAAAAGTGGGAAATGACGCATGTTTTAGGTCAATACAGTATACATATATATTTTTATTGTTGACTATGGTGCATTTTTATTCCTAATAGAAGTATGCAAAATTTTCTGTTTTAAACCAATGACAAAATTTCGAATTGTACTCTTTTATAAAACTGAAATCTAGTCTGATGTGATGATAAAACAGCAAAAGAGATACCTGACGCAGGCAACGCCCTAGGGTGTATTTCCAGAGCTTTTAGATCGATCTATCCCCGCGTGGAGTCTCACTAGATTACTGTCAGATAATCCGGCTTAAATGTCCGTCCCGCCTACTACAAGCTGTAAGGGGGTAATTAACTTTCGTGCCCGCTCGGCTGACAGCTATCTAGCGTTAACCCCCAGGGAGTTAGGTCGATCTAGTTTGGATCGATCTAATCTCTGGGAATGGGGTCCTACATAGCAGCAGACTTAGTGCATATGAGGGATAACCCATTCATTTCAAGTGTTTTTGTCTTATAAATCATAGTACGATTAATATCTTGTTCTGGTGTAAAAATAACATTTATCACGAAAATTTATTTCTCTACTAAAACAAACACATTACGAATGTCAGTAACTTTACCGTTTTGTGACGTCACGTGCAATTGCTCCATAAAAGCCGTAGGCGTAGATTTGGGGCTCAGTGTTACGCCAACCCTTCTTACATGTTAACGCTCCCCACTGAGCACAAGAGGATGGTGCAAGTTACGGGCAGCAAGTGGACTGGGGCAACTCTGATGCTGTTCATTGGCATGTCTATACGTAAGTCTTACTTAATCCTTTTCTGGTCAGAAGGCCCGAAAAGGCACGTGTAGATGGTGCGCGTATGTTTAAGAAGTTGAAGTTTTAATGTTAAACCTGTATATTGTACACTGAGAGGGAACTATGTGTATGTAACAATGTGTATGTATGTAACTATGGGAAGTTACAAAACTGCTCACCGTTTTCTAAAACCGAAGCCTGTGATTTTATCAGCAGAACGATAAATAAAGCTTTGCAGTTTACGTGATGTCTTTCTGCCTTCTGGGACGGTGTATCTTATTACAAGTCTGATGATAAGATATCACCGCTCTAATATTCTACGTACATATCCATGGTTGCCTTTTTACTTAATTCGATTTTGAGAAAAAATGTCACAAGACTACAAGAATGTATAAAATGTATACTCGTCAATTCACTAGTGTTAGTAATTATGAAGATGAATGAAAAGGATAAAAGCTAGATACAATAAATACAATAAATAAATAATTGAATAAAATAAAATAAATAAATAAAATACACCAGATGGTCTAGAATAGATTGAGAATCATAAGTGAACGTTAAATGAGACAAATTTTCGCAGGGGCACTTCTGTTTTGGCCATGGGCTATCTTTTGCCCATTGGAGATGACGGTTGCACGTGATTGCTGAGACTATCACCTTGATTTAGTGATGAACCTATATTTGTCTTTCTTAACATTTTATCTAAGACAGGTTAATTTTTTTCAGCTTGCCAAGCGCAAGACAACCCGTGCGGTGAACATGGACAATGTAAAACCGACTTGGACTACCAAGTGGGCAACGTATTTGGGTGTTTTTTTTACAACTTGATATTTTTTGGCGGGACCTGCAATAACGAGCCACCAAGTACTTGCGAGTGCGTTTGCCTTAATGGTTTTAAAACAGACGCAGGTGGCATTTGTGTGGGTAAGTCATTGTTATGACAATGTGGATGAAAATACAAATGTAAATACAAAAAAAAAAAAAAAAAAATTCGAGGGACCTTCCCTTACAAAATAAAGAAAACCAACCTTCTGATTCGTGCAGTCAGTGATAAATCATCTCCATTATGTGTTCTAGAATCTACGAATCAAAAATCTTCCTTAGTAAAAGACATTGCTCTGTTATCCCATTGGTAATCAAGGTAATAAGCAGATGGAAGATTTGTATGGAAACAACGTACTTGTACATAACAAAAATTCACGTTATCAAGAAGGAAATGGGCGAGAAAATACACCGTATTTTGAAAATTTAATGATAAATTTTTAAGGCAATTCAACCTACATGTACACGCAACACTTCCTAATGCGTGCGGTATGATATGATTTATGATGATATGCAAATAGATACACTGTGAAATTTTTTTTCTGAAATCCTCCTTTTAGATATCGACGAATGCACACAAGGAATACCATCTGGATTTGGTTTCAATATAGCAGTTTGTACAGGCTTCAATTGTGTGAACAGCATAGGGAGCTACCGATGTGGTGGAGATCTGGACGAGTGTTCCTTGGGTACAGATAACTGTGCAGAAAATGCTACTTGTACAAACACCGTTGGCAGTTTCACGTGCTCTTGTTTACCAGGCTTCACTGGTGATGGCACAGTATGTAATGACATTGACGAGTGTTCCTTGGGTACAGATAACTGTGCAGAAAATGCCTCATGTACTAACACCGTTGGCAGTTTCAGTTGTACATGTTTTCCTAACTACAATGGTGATGGTACAACATGTGATCCCGATGAGTGTTCTTTGGGTACAGACAACTGTGCAGAAAATGCCACATGTACAGACACTGTTGGCAGTTTCAGTTGTTCTTGTTTAGCTGGCTTCACTGGTGATGGCACAAAATGTAATGATGTGGACGAGTGTACCTTGGGTACTGACAACTGTGAAAAAAATGCCACATGTACAGACACTGTTGGCAGTTTCAGTTGTTCTTGTTTACCTGGCTTCACTGGTGATGGCACAAAATGTAATGATGTGGACGAGTGTTCTTTGGGTACTGACAACTGTGCAGAAAATGCCACATGTACAGACACTGTTGGCAGTTTCAGTTGTTCTTGTTTACCTGGCTTCACTGGTGATGGCACAACATGTAATGATGTGGACGAGTGTTCTTTGGGTACAGACAACTGTGCAGAAAATGCCACATGTACAAACACTGTTGGCAGTTTCAGTTGTTCTTGTTTGCCTGGATTTAGCGGAAATGGTACAGCATGTGTTTCTCTCATAAGTAAGTAATCGTTCATACGTTATTAACTTAATGCATCATTATATGAAGCCTGGAAGCTTGTCAATTTTGAGAAATAACTGTATATATATATATATATATATATATATATATATATATGCAATTTATCAAGTAAATATATTGATGTGTACATTTATTTTGGGTACTTTCCTTCAAATTATATATACAAATATTTAATTACTTTCGTTATTTAAATTTTGTAATTTTGTAGCCTGTGAAGGTGGTCCACCAGGAACTGAACTCTGGGAGAAAACAAATGATGGAACCAAATGTTATGGGTTCTACAGTGGCCCTCTGAACTACGCGGATGCCAAGGCAAAATGTCCTACAATTGTAGCTGGAAGCACACTGGCTATCATATTGAGTGCAACTGAAACTGCTGCCCTTGAGGCCATCATCCCACCTGAGTAAGTTTACTGCTGTTTTTATCATTTCATTTTGTTCTGTATCTAGAAAGAGAGAGAGAGGGAGGGGGCTTATTTGTCGATGGATTGCCTTTGCGCGATATTTGAGCCCCAGACATTAACACCTTAATTAGCTTATACTTCGGCTTTACAAACGTGTTGCAAGAGGATGTTAAAAAAGAAAACTGTTTAACTAAAACTAAAACAATTGACCCTTCTTTAAGGGAAAAGGGGAAAAGGAGGGAAAGGGGGTACATTTTTTAAGGTGTTTTTGTGTGCATTTACTGATCCAAAACAATTAAAGTATAAAGTGTAAATTGATATTGTTGAACTAAAGCTAAAACGTCTTTAGATGAGTTTTTTCAACCTTTACATACCCCAGAGAGACACATCGCTAATCTAGACCCCCTTTGCCAAGAACCGTTGCTAGGAGAGGGGGGAGATTAATGAGTTGTAAGATCTGGTTTATTTTATTTAAGTGCTGCGCGTGAATCATCGTGGATTGGTTTGGAGCAGCAGTCACCCCCTGGTACATGGGAGTGGTTGGACGGCACCCCGGCTACGGGATACGTGAATTGGAATGGTAACGATGGCGGAAAGGCACCCAAGAAAGCTGACAAAAACTGTGGTGCCGTAAACACCAGATTAACTCCTTTTAAATGGGTAGACGAAGAATGTACCGACCTAGCGCAGTATATTTGTCAGGTGATCCTCTAATTGAAGTAGTCTAATAGCACCTGCTATTTTTTTTTTGTTTTTTTTTTTTTTAGTGGAAGAATACAGTGATCCAAACTCCTACTTGGTTCCTTATGCAGTAGAGGATAAGGAAACACAGGTGAATCAATATATCAAATTTATAATTTCACTGGTTTGTTCGTAAGGTAATAGTTTACTTAAGGCTGAAACTTATTTAATTTATTGTATCTCCTTTTTTCTACAGATATTGTAAAACAGTGCTTAACTTGTGATACTCAAAGATCGGATATAGAATTATGGAAGCAATAGGATAAAAAATCGAATGATGTAAGTTTCAAATGTAAAAAATAGCAATAGATTGGATTGTACATTGTTTGTACGAAGTATGCGTATATGTTGTTTATATATTTTCCACATGTACACGTACTGTTATATCTCTACCCTGAAATGATAAAACGAGAGAGGTCGATTGATATTTCGAAATTTAATGCCTATTTTTATGACCAACCAAAACGAGGTTTATTACGAGTTTAATTCAACTTATTGGTCATGATTTCAAAAGGCTAATCCGAAATGATTGATAAGAATACTGAACTCTGGAGTGACCAATATAATATGGTAAATCAGTTATGCATAAATGGGTTTTGTGGGGTTCCGGGACGAGATTTAATTTAAGTTGCGTAATATACTTAAATACAGATATTCACATTATATTAATGTGTTAGGGTTAATGTCTGGTTTCAGCGAGGCCTATAATGTTGTTCACAACATAAATACATTTAAATTACATGTATGTATTCTCGTAAAGCATGTACTGAATGTAGGTAAAGAGAAATGTAAGAAATGAATAAAAATAGCAAGGCATATGTGTTTGTTGGAGAGTCTGTTCTTTGTAAGATTGCCTTATTGAATTTTCCCTAAATTTGAAAGTTTAACTTTGTCTTGTTAAAACGTTGTTCGTATTTAATAACATTCGGGTGCTGATGAAATTATCTTGCTGGAAATATGTCTCCATACTTCTTTATAGTATTATCGTTATAATCAAATGATACTGTTTACAAAATAAATATGTTATTAAATTTTCAATTTTCAATTTCAATTTATTTCTGTACTGGTACATAGATTGTCATGACCTTGTACAATATGATATACAAATGATGATACAATACAGTTAGTGCATTACCATCTTTATATAATGAAGATAAGTACTAGTAAAATCACTCATAGAATATTCTATCTAAGCAATGAGATAAACCTTGGTGTGATTATAAATTTAACATAAACATAGTATAAACATGTTACACAAAAAGAATGTTTTTTTTAAAAAACTTAAAAACCACCGTTACATAGCTGTTTACATGGCTGTTCAAAGCCAGTTTGATGACATTGATAATTACGATTAATGACAATTACATAAGACAGATAAGTAAATAAGTTACACAGATATAAATATTGTGCCATGTTCAGTCCCACTGCCGAGTCACTTCTCACAACAGTGGCACCATACACTGACATTTTAAGGGATATGCTAGGAGTTACCAAGCAGAGCAACCACTTCACTTCTTTTCTTGAATGATTTGATTATAAAGTTGGAGAGGGACACTAAAGTATCTTTGTTGGCACTGTTAAATACATGGCATAATTGACTGTCTGGTGACCTTGAATCAGCTTTTAGGAATGAGGTTTTACTGAAAAAGGTGACTCGGTCTGTTTTGTACATTGGGCATTGGAATATAAAATGGTATTCATCCTCAATTACCCCTTGTGTGCACAGGTGACAGATTCTGTCGCACCTTTAATTAAATCAGCTATCGTTTATACATTAGGTTTTTTGCTTGTAAGCTTTCTTCGCTGGATCTACCAAGAGTACGTTTTTTTATTTGAAAATAATAAAAAAAAAGATGTTGTCATTCATATAACAGAAATTCTCAGGTTGACAAAAATATACATATGCTATCTAGATGAAAAAGATCTCCCTTGGCTGACATATGAATGTCACAGCGGAATATAAATTGGGTCTCAGAATCTCTTCAGAATTGCACGGCTCAAGCAGTTGTTCTTCTTTACATTGCTTGTTTGTATTCAAGGCTAAATATACACATTCCTCAAAGATGAATTTACTTGCTGCAACACAAACATACTTCCCTCCACGACTGCGTTCCACTGTATATTTATCTATAAGCTGTTTATTAAGACATTATCATTATTGTACTATTTAATTGCATAATTGTACTGTTATCTCACGCTTCCACTGCATTTTACTGTTGTTGCACTGTGACGTTTATAATCGACCAATAGCAACTCCCGCAAAAAGAACAACCTAGCTATCTCAGAAAAAATCAATTCTCTTTTCTCTCTGAATTACAACCAGTTAGATATTTGTACATTGCTGCAAACGTTCTAACCAGATCTTGTGCAAGTAACACGTACGTGGACCTGTAGGGTCACAAATATTGTCGTCTGCAAAATTAAGTCACGTGGAAGGTGCTGTTTGAACACAAACCGTCAAGGATTTGTAGAATTGGTTCCTTAACTGACGTCCAGCGATACTTACATGTACATGTGATAGGTTACATAATTTATAGCCTGACTGCTTTGTAAGCAACTGCTGTAGGGTGAAAAAAAAAGCGGTGTCCTTTCTCCTACATTATTCACACTGGTTATCAATGACTTAGCCACTGTAAAAAAATGATTTTGGAGTGAAGTTGGGCATGATCTTAAAATCCCTATCTTGCTATATGCTGATGATAATGTGTTTATAGCTGAAGATGGAGAAAAACTGCAGGGTATGTTTATGGTGGAGCTCGAGACTTCTGCACAGAATCTGATATACTAGTTATTTTCCAGTAGTTTTGAAATTTACTAGTATACAATGTCCCTTATTCCAATCTTGAAAGCCAGTGGTACACAGCCTCATATCAAGCCGTGTCGGAAGCAAATTTCGGTAAACAAAATATGATCATCCCCGTGACATGTTATATGTCGTCCCGACGGACCACCCCCCTCACCCGGCCTCTGAAAGATAAAAAACTCCGAAATGCAAAACTATGAAAGGATAATTGCAGATGGTAAAATATGAGAAAATAAACTTTGTTGATTGGGCCACAAGTAGCCGACAGTACAGTTTAAAATTCGGCTTCATGGTTACAAAATGGGAAAACGTGAAAATTATATTACCAACGTTACAAAGACTGCGCGTGATTAAGTTGTGTTAAACGAAACATTTAAAAGGCCGCTTTTTTCTCAGCAGCTAATGATTAAGCTTAGACTCCTCGGGAGCCGCCAAAACTCTAAGACAGAAAAGCTCATCAACAAAAATTTCGCAAATAAATTTTGAATTATTGTCTTATGATATCTTTTAATACTACTGAAGTTTGTAAATTTTTAAAATAAAAATATAAAAATTAAAAAAAATCTTGCTGAATACAATCAGATTGACGGACTGACACGCGTCTTCCTGGGGTTGAGCAGAGTACACATTGGTTGATTTCGAGTGAGTTGAAAACAACTGAGAAATGGTTTAGAAAATGTTATTTACTGAA